CAGTCAGTATGTTGGAGACCACGTCAAGATGAAGAAATTTTACCGATAAACTTAGCTACGCGCACAGTTCCGGGTTCAGGCCTCCATCGATTTCAACCGGCTACCTCAACCATCAACGCTTCGATCGTTCAAGCTTTCAACGCGACAATAATTAATCGGTGCTATATTACAGCTCGCACCATCATATATTAGCCAATCCCATGTCACCGAGGCGTGACATGGGATGGGGTATGACCCCCTGACTGTCGGCGCCCTGGGGCGGGGCGTGGCTCCTGGCTGGGCGAGGGTGTGTCCGGGGCGCTGAGCGCCGCCGTCGGCTGTGTTTTCTCTGGCCGACGGCCCCGCCGGGACGAGATTAATCGGCGCGGCGCGGCCGGGTGGCAAATGGCCGGTCTGGGTCTGCCGGGCCCGGCGTCACCCCGTCTCGTCACTCTGTCTGATACACTAATGACGGCCGGGGGCGGGGCTGGCCGGCAGCGCTGGCCCGACACGCGCCGACGACACCGGTTACATCGGCTCACAGCGCGGTACACGGTCTGAGGTGACGAATGCTCACACACCCAGCCTGTATGTTAATCATTCACCCACTCGCCATTAGCAGATGCATTACAACGCTCGGACACGCCTGAGCACCCTCCCAACAGTCCATTACGTTCACGCTGATAGCATGCACGCTCCCACGCGGCTAATCCAAACGGCAGTGTGAACGAGCACTGCCCTACAGTGACTCATAGCGCATCCGCCCAGGCAGTAAGACATCCCTCACCGCACGGAAGCCCTGCTGTGCAGTCATTAGTTTGCACATGTACGGATGCTCATGCCCTACCTACGCACACATGACACGGATGGTGATAAATCGCATCCCGGCCATCAATAAATAAGCGATCGGATCGGTGACGTTATTGCATATTAAATACGCTACGTCAGTTTGACGTCAGGGATGGACGTAAGTAGCAGGTTGTGAGTGATTCCAGGTCCGTGTGTGCAGTTGACTGACAGGATATAGATGAGGTAAATAGTTGCCACTCCCTACATGCTCTCAACACTAACTAATTCAAATATATCAATGAGGTCAACAAACTAATTAGTGATTGAATGGTAAAATTGAAGTGTCTTCTAAATATTTTATGCATTTATCTCTGGTATAAGCACCAGCTCATCAAATTTAATTTTTAACTGTCTCGATGCTACTTACGACCGCATCGCCTTTACAAATTACGTAAAATGATTACAGGACATGAAAGGACTCAATGCCCTCTTGCAATCACTCCACTAATGGCTCGAGGACGTGAAGTTATAAGGGATGTCCTTCCAAACCTCCACTACCGCTCCCCGTCCGATTTTTCCATCGGCGCCCGACAGTCGGTCAGAAGTGCCGTGTTCGCAGGACGGGGAGGGGACAGCTGTCCAGACCGGCTGTCCAGACCCGCCTACCGTCTGACAGCGCACGCAGGCCGGTCTACTGCAGCGGAGAGTCGCAGTGGGCTCAGCCGTACCCTCAGCTGTCTGCTGGGCTGTTCGCGATAAGGGTTTTTGTGGCCTGGATTTTTTGTTGTTTGAAGTTGACGCGAGACCAGGTGTTCAGTAACAAGGCTGTTTTCATTGTCCAACGAGCTATTAAACCTTTTACATATGCATCAGAATGAGGAAAACGTGACTGCCTCTTTTCACTTGCACACTGCACAGCCCATTTGAAGGTGAACATGCATTTGCAGGAATCGACACTGTTTGACCAAGTGTCAACAATAGTAGACCACCATTCATTGACGGATAATAATAGGCGAGCCGTATAACAGCCTCTTCAAACCGTTTATTTGGCTGTCAAATGGCGATATAATTAGTAAGAATATAGCAGAGAAGGTTCGTCAGCTTTCCACAAACTCATCTTGATCTATGTCTTTTGAGCCATCTCGGACTCTCGTGTCGTCACTGTTACGCGCCGCACGCGTAACTGCCCTCGAGCCGTGCGGCACAGCATAACTACAGGCGCCGACTCCCAGTGCCATCTAGTGACGAAAAGGGAAATGAACTGACACCCCGCGGCCGCCGTGCTGTGTGCTGTGTGGTCGTCAACTGTCGAAAGGAGGTCGGGCTGTGTGGTCGCCAATGGCCGAAAGGTCGCCGTGCTGTGTGGTCGCCAGCTACAAGTACAGTCGCCGTGGCGTGTGACCGTGACTGGTCCGAGCCCCGCCCGGGGCTACTGGAGACTGGAGAGGCACCGGAAGCCGAGTTCATCAATAGTGCTGGCCTCGCCGGCGGCCGTCTCCCGGTGAGGGCAGTGGCCGCACCGCTACAGGACGCCGGACCCACCCGAGCCCAGACGGGCGGCCAAGCCCCTTCCGTTGCAGCCCCCTCCCTCTCCCCCTCCGAACAAGACCAGGTAGTAGACAGGCATTATCTGGTACATACCTGTCCACCAGGCCGCCGGCGGAAACCAGTCCTAGGTCGTCGGAAACGGCCGTAGCTCCCATCTCGTTCGCATCTAGCTGTGTTCGCTAATATGCCTATCGAACGATCTCGGAACTTCCTTGGAACATAAAAACTAGCTCAGTCACTACCTGCATATTTATGCAAGCATGTGTAGAGGCGACCCTCCTTAAAAATTCAACTACCGGTGACTGCCGTAACGCTAGATAGTTGACGATAGACGCACTCCGTGGGTTCCGAGGCACGTAGCCCTCTGCGCTGGCTCGGCCGTCTGGTGGGCTGCCAGTTGGGCGGGCCGGGTTGCTGGGCGGGGCGCGATGACGCCGGTCTGACTGGACCGTCGGCGCCCCGCCCTCAGCTGTGGACGTGCTGTCTGACCGCCGACAGTGCTTAATGTGCCAGTCATTACCGTCGAGTGCGGCCTTGGCCGGTTCCGGCGCATCAGTCTACCAATGATTCACCACTGCCCAGCAACCGCGCCCTCCGGAACAACCCAAACAGTCTCCCTCGCCGGGATTAATCGACGCGAAACACGGGTGGTTCGAGTGGCGACAATCTAGCACGGAACATTGATACCATCAAATGGTTACGTGTTGTGTATGTGAGCCTTCAGAGCTCATTGAAATTCCAGGAATGTTTTATCCAGAAAAGGAAAGTGCTGTACATGTAGTGGGATGCTAAAAGGCCTTTATCTACCACTAACCCTCGATTAGGTCCAAGGTAACTGGTCTGACATGACGCGTTATCGGTGAAAATAACCATTTGGTATGTCTGTCATTGATATGAGCGACGCGGGTTCAATCGTGGGGGCAATCTTATAGTAGAACAAGAACGCTTACAAAAACTACTACCCAAGAGGTTTTACAGCATCCACTCTTTGGCTGTCTGAGTGTACTACTGGGTCAAGGAAAACTGTTTCATCCCATTACGGAAGCAGCAGCCAATACACCTATCCCATGGTCAGCCGCTTGAAAAGCGGAAGGAATTAACCCTCGCCCGCACATGGGGGGGGGGGGGGGTGGTTGCCACCCCCCCCCAGGCAGTCTTTCTGCTCTGCACTCAACATTTTTAGAGCTAGAAGGCTGATTTTTCGTATAGCTGCTCCTCTATCCTTTCTTGATGTCCACTGAAAATTTCAAGTTTCTGTGATTTTTGGTTTCGGAGATATGACCTTGTTTTTCAGGTCATGTCATGACCCAAATGGCCAATTCTCAACATCTTGCGTTTGCCATGGGCCTTGTGAGCTTTTGACACCCTGATTTCGGCCTTTTTTGCCAGTCTTACCTCCCACCTATCATGGAACATGTTGTTCGACGATGTACAGGGGTCAAGGTCAGGGTCAAGGTCAACCTAGGTCATCTAAGATAATTGCGTTTTAGGCAAGCTAAATTTACTTTTTGTGAATTTTTTTGACTGCATTTTTGGTAAAAGCTTCTCAGATCATGATTTCATGTGATATGGACCCAAAAACAATCGGTGCACACATCAGTATACACACAGACACACACAGACATACAAACGCATATAATTGACCTTGACCTAACTTGACCTGAAATGACCTCAGCAGCAAAATTCTGGTCGGATAGTGTGACAAAGAGGTTCTAGCTGGCTTGGCACCAGAAAACAGCATCGTCATCGGTATTTGATAAGCAGCGCACTTGATATCCAACGGTGACCCAAAACAGCAACATTTTTTAGTTTGACCTGACCTGGAAGGTCAATGACTGACCTGAGAAGGTAAAACTGGGTATCATTGGATTCGTCTCTTCCCAAAGAATCTTTTTGGTCTTTACTGCTAAGCTCTATCTCCAACAGGAACGAAATGGCGCGGGGGGGTGGCAACCACCCCCCCCCCATGTGCGTTCTAGGATGGGAAAATGGCATGTGCGGGCGAGGGTTAACTTGAAGCGACTTAGAGGAAATAAACGTTAAGAGAATTAATCACCACACCGCAAGCTAAGGCTGTTCCTTGCAGCATCGATGTCTTAAATGACGGTTGACAAGTTACAAAAGAATGGCTTGTGATGACTCTTCGATTGACCCGATAAGTGTTGTTGATGAATGAATTGTTACTTGTTAACTTTGTTTTATTTTTCCATTTCACATGAAGAACGCTGCAAATAAAATTTCATTATTTTCCTTCAATCAACTGCCAAGAATTAGAACGCATGACAGGAACACCAAAGATTTGACCACTGACGAAAATAAAACGATCAGTATATACCGAAATAGCGTGAGGTCGTATCATTATTATTCCGAAGTACCCGTACTGATGGTTACATATAGCGTATAAAAGCATACAATCGTGACAATATCAGCTCCAAGATAAGAAATATTTCATGTAAACTTGCAAGTTTATCTTTGTTGAAAATGCAACAAGAAATGCACTTTCAAAAATTGTTGGAATATCTTCTTCACATGCAACACCTTGATATCATCAAAAAGTTTTTTAAACGTGAAAAGTATGGGATGCACGAATAATAAGAAACGGCCAGCCAACCGGTTATTGCCAGCCGGTCATTCCGCTATGGGGGAGGGGGGGGGGGGGGACGCGAGCGCCGAGCGGTACTCACCATTCCCTTGCAGAGGCTGAGGGCCACGTGGGAGCCGGGATCGTCCCGCACCACGCCCACGTAGAAGCAGCGCCTGGTGTCAGCGCCCAAGCCGTGGATCTCGCTGAAGTTGCGGTGCTCGGCCTGTACGCGCAGCTGCGGCACCACCATCTCGCCATGGTCGGGCCACAGGCGCAGCTGCAGCTCGCGGCCGAACGCGCGCAGCCGGTAGTGCAGGTTCCGTGTGGAGCCCGGCGGCGGACCGGTGTCGACCGTGTTGGAGTCGAGGTCGGAGACGGAGGAGAGAGGCAGCTTCTGAGGCCAGACCAGCTCGCTCTCCGTCCAGTCACCTGAAACAGACAGCGACCATTGAAGGACGATCAGTGTTTGGGTGAGTTATACGTCAAAGTTGATGTTAAAGAGATATTTATCGAGACTTCAAGATTTATCATCGCTTTTATTTTATTATGTGATGCTACATATATTTTAGCAAAATTCAAGGCTATTGGAATAGGCACTGAAAAAATTTTGATAGTATTTACGTTGCTTTACTTGCTTATTCATTCAAGCATTCCTGCCCTTATTCACCCATTCAGTCTCTTAGTCTTTCCCCATCCCACGTAGTGTAAAATAGAGGACGGGAGCATTTCCGGTGTCGCAGACGACTTCCCAGCTCTGCTGACCTTTACCGTCATACACTATATGAGACCCATCTACACCGCAGCAGACGTGAACCCGTGCACACACGGCCACAAACTCAGCCAGTGCGGGTCACGAAGTCACGTTCCAGGCGCGCTATAGGTCACGAAACTACCGCAGGGCGACAGGGTCACGTGTGCCCGTGAGGCACGGGTCTACTCTGATCGTGAGCTGGGGTGTTGTGAGGCGGAAATACTCTATTGGCTAAAACTTGCATTACGTGTTTGGCTGGTCATTTTCAAGCACTTATAACAGTGACTACGACTCAGTGGAAAGCAAAATAATTCAATCACGTAGTGGTGAATCGGTATGAAAGAAATGTCAGCAGAAACCATCATGTGCAGCGTCTGGACACGATCGTGGCTTCTTAGAACTTAGCGAGGATCATCTGTTGTTATTCAATGCACTTTATGACGGATACTTTACGGTTTAGTGTGCAAGCAAGATTCAGCAATTTCCTGTGCCAGGCATACTCAGACCGGAACGAAAATAAATAAAATGTAACCTTGAAGCTAGTGTATGGGTCCTAAAATATACCAGAGGATAGTTAAGGTGTGTGCTTTCAGAAACTTAAATGTTAGCCTCAGTTCCGATTGAGAATGGGTAGAAACTGCATGCAGCAGTACCAAAATTTCCACACGGCTGTTCCCCGCCGGTGACACACAGGTTACTGGGTGCACTCGGGACAGAGACGGCAGGATTTTGATAAAGGAGACACCAAAATGAAATTATATTATCGTGTGCTAGAAATATACTGATAGACGAGCTTTATGGCTCAGCTGAGCGCTAAAATATGCAGACCCCACACTGTCCCATGATACATTGGGCAACCTATAGACGTTATTGACTTGTGTCAAACGTTTTTGTTCCTCATGGCAGACAGATAAATGCTTAGGCATCATACCAATGGAGTTCTTTCGGTATTTTTGGTATTTTAGTATTTAGTACTTATATTATGTAGGTAAAGTGTTAGTCAGTGATCACAAAACTGAACCATTAAATTGATAAAAAAACATAACATATTACTTAACATTATTGCCATTTACCTGCCTAACTTTCCATTGCCCTTTATAGACCATTCAGAATCCAGTATCTATCCGTTTTCACATATAGTCCCCACATGCATATTGCCTGTACTAAAGCATTACAAAAAAAAACTCCCACGGTTCAAAAGTCATACATTTCGTTTACGCTTTATTCCGATGCAGGTCATTGATTTCGATACCCTCCTGAGTCCAATCAGCCACATCACGACGGTCCTTTCCTCCTCCGATGACGTCAGCACCAACAGCATCCTGGGTGACGTCAGTGTCTGGCCCTGACACCCCGTCACGGTCCCCAAATATCAGCAGCGTGCAGCCATCAGCTGAACGGGAGCGGCCTGGACGGGGGTGCTGCCGCGGGGGGGGGGGGCGCAACGGACCCTGCCCGGCATCCCCGGCATCAACAGAGCAGAGGGTCAAGGTCAGCGACCGTCTACCGCCTCCCTCCCCCTCCTCCCCCGCAAGGGTCCGGTGGAGACGGAGGGAGAAGGGGCGTGCGATGAGCCTGGATTGGACGCGACGGCCAAGGTAAAGGAATGAAAGCCCGCGTCGCAACAAAAGCTGGGCGTGTTGGTAAATACTGACGGGTAAATTTAAACTTCTGCTTACTGCGGGAAGACATATGCACCCTGATTCACGCATGAATCAGACGGGCTGAGCTAAATCAGGAAGTGCGATGAGTGATTGTAAATTAATGTTTGTTCAATGCGAACAAAAACATTTCTATGACAACCCTTTTATCAATCGCGGTATATTGAACCGAGCCATTACTCAGTGTGACTCCTAACAATACCGAGGTACCGAGAAGGTCATGTGATGTTTGGGTAAACAGCAGAAAATCATTGCGGAAGATACTAAGAAATGTATTAGAAATGTCAAACAGAAAAATGATTTGTCAGCCCAAACGAAACGAGCATTGCAGCCACCTAATGCATTTGGCATTGCTTTTATGTAGAAATATAACAGCTCGCCCGTACTAATGAAGTCAGAATAAAGAACAATCTGAGTTACTTATAAATGTTCAGATAGCCACTATCGCAGTAAAATTTAAATGCAAATGAAAGGTGGATCTCGCCAAAAAAAGCTTACAGTAGCTGATGTAGCCGATTCATTTATTTTCTGCTGTCGACTCAAATTCCGTAGCAATTAGCCGATGTGCAATCAGTTTAGTTTGCTGCTCAGCGCCTCGTATGTAACATGAAGTCATTCGAGCTTTCAGCTTTACACCTGCAAAATAACGGTGTCACTCTTAGGTGGGTGTCAGCGCAAAATGTGCCCTCTGCAAGCCGCTAGAGCGATTTGTTATCGTTACATGGCATTTTTAACGTCACAGCATCTATGAATGAATGGATATCAATAGTGGTTATTATTGATATCAGACAGGAACAAATCGGACACGGAGAGCGGGCCTGCAACCAGCAAAGATTGAACATGCAAGCGCTGGATTAAATGGATCATTATGCCAATTGATCGATATATTCCATTACATCTCATTATAGAGCGTCAAACACCAGTGGAAGCGTCAATAAATCTCAAATCACAGCTCTCACTGCCTTGCAGCTATAGGTAACTACTGACATCCATCCAGAGCTGAATTGATAAGTCTCCCACTCATCTCTGCCATACAGAACAGGCATGCCCACAACTCGCCGAAATCGACTCGACGCGTCGCCTCCCAAAAGCGTCTGTATATCTCGCGAGCCTCGCGCGCTGCGCCGCCCAGTGAGTGATAGGGGTCGCGTTCGCCGTCCCGTATGCCGATGGCACGTTTATTGCAGATTGCCCGATTGCTCTCTGTCCGTCGAAACGCCAAGAAACAACACGCGACCCCTTATGGCGCTGTCGTCCCCGCGGAGACGAGCACTTTATGACTGACGAGCTCATGTGCATAGTGGCCGTCGAGTGGTCCGCGTCAACACTTCTAGCCGAACGATTGACGCCCGTGGTGCAAAAAAGTAGCTGACCAATGCGAACAGTTGGGCGCCTTGGGTGTGCAGGACGAACAAGAGCATCTCTGGGAACACGAAATAAGTAGGTACTTGTCGAGAGATTATGAGAACCGGGACGCAAAATGTCGGGGCATGCGGAACGACAATCACCGGGCCTCATGGTGAGAGACGGCGGGTATGGGTGAGAGGCCGAGGCTATGAGAGGTGGACGGCAGAGCGCGTTGGTCTGACTCGGCGGTCCGTGCCAATTGGTGAGTGTTGGTCCGGTCTGCCACCGCCAACGCGTTGGCGGTGGCGGTGGCAGACCGTTGCAACGGTTGTGTAGATGGGCACTTTTGCCAGCTGACTTGTTGCAAGGCAGCGGTATGACTCAGTCGCGAATCACCATGCATATTCACAAGCTGTCCAGCATGGCAGACCATTCGTTCGCCTCTTATCACCGACAGCCAATCTAGAAGCTACCCACTATCGCTTTCAATTTAGCTAACGGGTAAGGCATATCGTATACAGAGGATGAAATTCATTCGCATGTCAACTTCAGAGAGCATCTGAAAGGAGCAAGTTAGAGTAATTCTTAGTGCGGCCAAAATTATACGCAAACGTTTACCAATACCAATGATTATGATGCAATATAAAAAGGCCTAAACAGCAATATTCTTTCGTAAAGGCGTCATTATTCCCTACGTGAGAAGCTTCCTAAGCCCCAATGAAGCACGATGGGTCAATGATAAATTCATCACGGATAGATTCGCCAAGCGGTGGAGCGGCATGACTTCGTATGACCTGCAGCGATGCGATGCACTGGAGCTCGGTGACTCTGTCGCCAGTTACCATGCATATGTTACAGTTAGTATGCGAAATCCGTTAGTTTGCAACGCAACTAGTTTCGTTGCAAACTACCTGACCGGCCAGGTAGTTTGCAACGAAACTAGTTCCGTTGCAAACTAACTGACCGTCCAGTTACTTTGCAAACTAACTAGTTAGGATGCAAACTACCTAGTTACTTTGCAACGGAACTAGGTGTGTTGCAACGGAACTAGTTGTAATGCGAAATCGACGAGGCAGTGGCTCTATTTGTCGGTTATATTCAACTTTTATGTAAATTTTAGCAACGGTTGTTAAAACAAAGCTGTGTTTTTCTAACGAGTGACACTAGACATAAGACGGGTGGTCACATTTAGGATAGAAACAGTGAATTAACCGGATTCGACTACATAACGTTACGATCACTGGCGGATCCAGAGGGGGGGGGGGGGGCAAAATCGCTCCACCATCCACGCAGCGCCCGAAATCGACAAATAATTACTTATTTTGAAAACGAAACGAAAACTGAACAACTTTTATAATCAAATACTTGTTTTAGATTGCACAGCCGTGTGTAAGGATTGGAATCAAAATCAGAAAGGTTTTTGGAAAACTTTTTTTTTGGGATTATGTCTCCCACAACGTTTAATACCATCTTTCTGGAACCGCCAGTGATCACCATAAATGTGTAGATATAACCCGCGCCCCACTGGGGGGGGGGGGGGAGCTATTCATAGCCCCCCTCCCGTTTTTCTGCAATAACTTCCTGACCTGTGACGATATCGGTGACCTCGAGGTCAATGAAATTTGGTTTCATACGACAGTTTTTCCGGGGCTATTAGATGCCGTTTGAAT